TCCCAAGTGCTGGGATTACAGGCCTGTGCCACCACGTCCATTTTATTCTTACTTTTTTTGAAACAGGGCCTCACTTTGTCACTAAGTTTTTCATGCTGGGCTCAAACTTGAGACTCTCCTGCCTCATAAAAATATCAAAGTTTTGAGATGAATTGTCCTAGCATGACAGCAGGAAAGGGAGGGAGTTCTTACCCTCTTCAAAATTTCTATAGGAAAGGTTTTAGCGATTGCTTTACTAGTTATTATTGGAGATTAGTCTTTTCACCCTTTGTCTTTGCATTTTACCTTTTTTTCTAACACTCAAATTATATGTACTTATCCATTCCCTTTTCCAAAAAGACAGATTTTTGTTTTGTTTTATTTTGTTTTTGTGATTTTGGGAGTTGACCCCAGGTATTTGCTTCAGCTTCTTTTATTTTATTTTGAGACAGGATGTTGCTAAATTGCCGAGGCTGGCCTTGAACTTGTGAGCCTACTGCCTCAGCTTCCTGGGTAGCTGGGATAACAGGTGGGTACGTCCAGGCCCACCTCCGTAAAAAGATGGATTATCTAAATAAAATTCCAAACTTGTATTGCAATTCGGAATATCTTTTAGAGATTTCTTTTATCTTACAGCATCTATTTTTCTCTTTAAGTAATTTAATCTTTCTATTGCTCAGAAAAGCAAATGGATGCATTTACAAAGAGCTGGTATGGAGAAGGTATATTTTAGATTTGGAGTAGGACTAACTTCTCACTCTATATCTTTGCTTTTAAGATCTTTATAACATAAAGAGAAACAGAAAAGCATACAAATGAAATGTATCTTTTTAATTTTCTTTTTTTGAGACAGGTTCTCACTACATAGCCCAGGCTGACCTTGAACTAAGTAGCCCAGGCTGGTCTTGAACTCACAGATATCCTCCTGTCTCAGCCTCCCAAGTGCTGGGATTACGAGGATAAACCACCATGCCCAGCTCCAGCTATATTTTAATAAAGTTTTCATGACAAATTCCACTAGAAACTTATAAATCTTAATTCGCTCCTTGATTCAAGGTACAGATTTTGTTTCCTGCTGGTCACCACCATTTATAATTTTTATGAAGAGACCAGTAAGGAAGGTGAACTGAGCTACATCACCACCCACTTCCCCTCTTCTAAACTTTGAGACAAGGTCTAAGTTATTAAATTGCCCGGGCTGAACTGGAACCTGGGCTTCTTCTACCTTAACCTCCCGGAGTGCTGAGATTATAAGGGTGTGCCATCATGCATGCCTTCTTATTGCCTTTTGAATTGCTGTTTCCCACAAATGAAAACTCCAGGTCCGCCTCTTTGACCTTAGAAAATATTCACCTTCAGATTACAAATACATCGCAGAGTCTCAGGATTGGGGGATACATTAATTTAGAAAGAAAATGTCAAAATGAGCACACACTGGTGATTTCTGTGAATATACATTTGTCTCTCCTTGTTTCCTTGATGTTTATCCCCCAGAAGTACCTGGTCTAACATGGATATTATATGAAATTTAAGCCAAAAGTGAAACCATTTAGTCTCCACTATTCATTAAAAGACATATCATCATTTATTCATTTTGGATGAGGGTAGCAGGTATTTATAATACCTTCCTGAATGCTTTTTAAATTTTTCCAAAGTAAAAATAATTTTTTTAAAAAAGACAATACTGAGCCTGATTCTCCAACATTTGGACCAGATTTACTACTCCAAAGCTGCAGAGAGCACGCTTGGAAGAAAGGATGAACTCTCTTCAAGAATTGTCTTGCAGGGATAACAAAAAGGTTTTTTGTTTTTTCTCTCCCTGGACAGGAAGGTTCTAACATTGTACTTTATGTAATGTAAATGTATGTGTAAATTATTTACATAAATGTCATGTACATAAGGATATTCGTTTGGACAAACCTCTTTGCTATTTTAATGGTCAAATTTGTTTATATTTACCTTTGCTACTGAACATCGAGGCAGAGACAGCGCTAAGTGCTTACTATGTAAATGGTTTACATATTCCTTTACCCTGGGCACACAAAGAGCCACGTGACTGGTCTGGACCCAGTGAATTTCAGCAGAACCCACGAGAACCTAGCTTTGCAGGATTCTCCCAGCTGCCTCTGCGGTGGTCCCTCCTGTGCTGGGGTGGCCAACCCCGAGCCTGGGAAGGAAGCAGCTGAAACGCTAGGTCACCTGGAGGAGGTGAGATGCCCCGAGTTCGCCGGATCTACAGGTAACCAGCGCAGCATCAGAACCTTGCCCGTCCTGACTCATTTAAACACCACGTTGTGCTGTTTACTTTGTGATCATTAAATGGGAAGTGAAACCATAAGGACAAGGTGGGGATGTAGCTCAGTGTTAGAGTCCTTGCCTTGCACACTGGAGACCCGGGATTCAGGCCCGGGGTTCAACCCCCGGCACCGACACAAACTTTCTAGGGCTCTAAAACTGAATTTAAAAGAAAAGTTCCTATCTTCAGCTTTGCAAATTAAAGTTGTTTACCCCTGATAAAGCAATTTTGCCATACAAGTATCTGTCGCCCCCTTGCAACCTATTGGAATGAGTCTATTTTTTTCACATTTCCTCCATTTCCACTCCACTCCTAATCCTTAGCCCCAATTTAGTGTTCAGAAATTCAGGAAAAAGAAAAAAATTTTTTAGAAATCGTGCCATAGTTATCTATATGGCTTTCAACGACAGTTATAAAAAATTGTTTACAAAATCAGTAGTTCTTTAGGCTTTATTTTTATATTTTGTAAGTATTTTTATTTTTAATTTTTAAAAAACAACGATAATGCCAAGGATTTTTTTTTTTTAAGTACAAAACCGTGACAGCAAGAACTGATCTATTTTTAGGTTTTGTCCACTTGTTTCATAGGACAGGGACCAGACTCGGATTTGCTGTTGAAATATTTCACACCTAACACAACCAGTTTTCCAATAATTTGCTTCTCATTCATTTGAAATTTGTAGTTTCTTCGTTTCCTGTAGCAGGAAACGCTTCTTGAAATTCAAGGTTTGAGAAAAGCAAAAAAATTTCCCTCTTTTTTTGACCAGAATGCATATGCGGGATTGAGACAGCCAAGCAAAATGCGTTTAAAGAACTGGATTAATTTCACTACCACTGCACCCCTACGGAGAGGTCGGGGCTCCCCATTTTCCTGTAATCCTTAGCGGCCCCGGGGCTGCGCGAGCTTCTTTTAAAATTCAGAAAACAAACTTTTCCACGTTAGTCAGCGCATCCCTGAGAGGAAGGCACCGCAGCGCCAACCTCGACGTACACAGCTCCCGCCAGCGGGAGAACACCCTCCACCGGCCTCCGGCCCGGGGCGGAGAGGAGGCCAGGGCCGGGCACGCCCCCTTCCCGGCGTACCCCGCGCGGGGACTTTACCGCGAGGCCCCCGGTGACTCAGCCGCGTGGCCGCGCCGGCCGGGGCGGGGCACGCTCGCCTCTGCGGCACGGCGGCTCCCGGGCGGGTTCGGGCCCGAGCGCGGCGGCGCGGCGGGGAGCGACGACGAGTAAGTGGCGGGCGGGCGGTCGGTCGGGCGGGCGCGGCCCGCGGGGCGCCTTTGTGTCGGGCCGTCCTCCCGGGGGCCCGGGCTGGGCCGCGGCGGGCGGGCTCAGTCCGGTCGCGGACGCCGGGTGGGCGGTGGCGCTGCGTGGAGGGCTCCCCGGGCCGGCCGCTGTCCGCGGGCCTTCGCGGCGGGTCCGCCCGAGCGAGAGAACGCAGCCCGGACCGGGCAGATCAAAACATCGGCGGACGCGGTGGTGTTTTTCCTCCCGGCGATTAAGTGAATCTGTTAAAAACCCTGTTGGTGGTCCGACTTCCTCTTAAACTCCGGCTGCAGAGAAAGTGCACGTCGCCTGGCCCTTTCGCCCCTGCTTCCTCCCTGCCACCCACAAAGGACTGGTTTTCGCCCGTAGCTCTTGAGTGCAAAAGCACTGGGGAGAGAGTCTTAACTGGTAATTTTCTTTTAAATAAAAAGTTACTTTTTATAGCAGACAGTGTGTGTTCAGGTTTTTGCAAGCTCAGTTCTGCACTCTCAGAAAACCTAATTGGGAATTTGCAGTTTTTTCTGAGAATTGAAGGGTTGAACCGGTTTTTCCCCTTCTGTACTGGAGATTGAGCCCAGGGCCTTCACACTGATTTGCATTCACAGCCCTTCCTTATACATTTATTTTTATTTTGAGACAAGATCTTGTTAGGTTGCTCAGGCTGGGCTCAAACGAGATCATCCTGCCTCAGCCTCCCAAGAGTGCTAGGATTGCAGGTGCACATCAGAGTGGATTTATTTTTAAGCAAGAATCTAGTGAATAAAGTACCAAGATAAACAAGGCTTGGAAGGAACTATTTAATCAGCTTGTGAAAATACATTTCCAAGTTCTTTAATTGTGTCCCTGTTCACTGTTAACCATTATCTGCATCTACTACCTAGGAAACAGAGTTTAAAAAAAGAAGGCCGGGGATCTAGCTCAGTGGTTCCGCCACCTGCCTCGCAAGCGCAAGGACCTGAGTTCGATCCCCGGTACCAAAAAAAATTTTAAGATGGACCCCTAAAACAGTGTTGGTAATATCAGCTGGAGCCACCCCGACCCCCGCAAGGGAAAAAAATCCCCCAAATTCTGGCCAGTAGGTAGTTGTCAGACCTGGATGAGGTCACGGTGCCCAGGCACACTTGCAGAAACTGGATTGTAGAGATCAGTGATGGTCCCGAGCCTGCATTTTAAGCAAGGACTCCCTCCTGCCTTGGTACCTTTGGGCTGGCAGTTATCAAAACTGCCCGGCCCCGGCCTTGTTGACATCCTCCTCCCCTGGCTCCTGCCAATCAGAGGCCAAGAAACTGAGGCTCTGCGGAAGGCAATGTGAGGAAAGATAGTGCCATGCGTACAGGAAATGGCTTTCCTACACATCCTGTTATTGCTGGGGCTGTGATAAGACTGCCTTTTGAATCTGACCTTTTCCTTCTGGGACCTCTTTCCAGGATTCTCAGCACATAACCAAGGCCACCCGGCCAGATCTCCCTCCTCCTCTGGAGGAATCACACAGCCACTGCCGCAGAATTCCCGTGGCCTTGAGCTCTCAGATTCTGCGCTGGGCAGCAGGACAGTAACCTTTCTGAAGGCTTTCAGTTCATCTGCACTTAATTCACTGAGTGCTCTGTGTGCAGCACAGGAGTGGGTCCTGTAACCCAGAGTGAGGGCCGGACACCTTCCCTGTGCCCCCTCAGGTAGGTGTGGAGAGGGGAGCTTAAGGTCAGGCCACGTGTTTCTGACTTTTTTCCTGTCTTTGGAGTCTTTGCTGCCTGATTTCTCTTGTTAATCTAGCTTCTTCTGTTGATTCACAAAATACCAGCCCTTTCCTTCAGTAGCCCTGGGCTTCCTGAGTTTTCTGCCTCTTCCCTAACCAGAGCCTGACCTTCCCACCTCTCCTTGGCTGAGGAGTTTAGAGTTTATTCTTGTTGGAATACTGAATCGTTTCTAGTTGGGAGACCCAGAGTCGTGGAAATACGAGGCTTAGAGATAGAAGGGGCCCCATTACACATTTATCGGGCACAGTCTCCTCATCTTTCAGGTGAAGAATCTGAGACAGAAGGCAGATGGTGAGGACTCCTGGCTCCCCTTAGCCTAGTTTTCTTGCCACTAAATCATCTCAAGAAAAATGCTTCAAAAATGAAAAGGTCCAGAGGAATTAAAAGTAGATGAAGAAAATAGACTTCCATATGACTACAAAACCAGTATTATCTTACCTGGAAAAGGGAGAGATTACGATTAACTATAAATCATGAAAAGTGAGAGTACTGAAATAAGGAGCTCTTTGAAGCTTGAAATAAGGAGAGGATAAATAACAAGCAGATGGCTATCTGGCACTGGAGAGAGATTACAAACTCAGAATTTTAAAGAACATTCAATAAAGATTTAGATATTTTGGTGACTTTTAGAGGTTAGATATTTGAGCAGTGTCCAGGATCCTTTGAAGCTCTCTTATATTGCCTTGCCAAAGTTACTAGATAAAGCATTGAGACTGATCTAACCTGATTCAGTATATTTCTTTTCTTGGTTCAGTGTATTCCCTAACTCCTTAGGATAAGTGAGATTATTCTGGAGTAAAGTAGTAGGAAGGAAAGATTGGATAAAAGAAGGCATTTTTATTTGAAGTTTCTAAATTATGAGGGTGATTGAAAAATATTGTGAATGTTTACATTTTAAAAATTATTACAGTAAAAGACCCATTGCCATTAATCTTCCTCAAAATAGTCCCCTTGGCTTTGAACGCACTTATCCTGTCATTCTCCATCTTCTTGTCTCTTTTTTTTTTTTTTCCTTCTTGTCTCTTCTTAAAAGGACACTTGTCATCGCGAGTTAGGGCCTACCTCAGTGACTTTGTTTGACTTTAATGACCTCTTCAAAGGCCCTGTGTCCAAGGGGTCATATTCTGAGGTACTGGGGGCTGGAACTTCATAATGTAAAATTTGAAGGGGACACAGTTCAGCCCATAGCCATTTGTTGGGGGAATTTAATGCTGGGTGAGCTGCATGCTTCTTTCCATAATGAGTGCCTGGGCATCTTTTCCGTGTAGCTGCCTGCCTGTCTTCACCAGGGTTTCACAGGCCTCTGTGTAAGCCACCATGTTATAGGTACGGCTGTGGAGATGATGCTGTTATCCCACAGAATAATCTGTTTTAGAAACTATTTCATATATGTACCCTGAGTTCCCAGTTCATCTGTTAAGCATATTTCTTCTTAATCTAGAAAGAGAATTGTCAGACTCCTCTGTGTAGTAATTTATTATTTCTATTTCAACATGCAGCTTTTTCTCTTCAACTGCTCTAAGCATTTAAAAAAAAATTCCAGTGATTCCAGCATTTTCTTGAGTTTACAATTTTCAGAGATACATCTTCCTTTTTCCTCGCTTTTTTTTTTTTTTTTTTGGTACCAGGGATCGAACTCGGGACCTTGCACTTGTGAGGCAGGTGGGAGAACCACTGAGCTAAATCCTCCACCCTGAAACAATGCTTTTTTAAAATGTTAAATGACCCGACAATTAAGGGAGAATATTTTCAATTTTTTTCCTATGGATTCATTTATTGTTTTAACCTCCCTTTGAAAAACTTAGCATATCAATACTGTTTCCATGTTTTTAATTATTCTAAAATATATTTTTTATTCTTGTAGTTGATGAGTTAAATTGATTTTTGAATGTTAAATCAACCTTTGTCATTATCCTTTTTTATGTATCCAGATTTACTTTTCTAGAAATTATCTAGGATTTTGGTGCATATGTTTGCATGAAATAGTGGCCTGTAGTCCTTTTTAGTAATGTCCTCATCAGGACATTTTGGCTCAATGTTATGATGGCCTCAGAAATAGAATTGAGAAATAGTCCCTCTTTTTCTGTTCTCTGGAAAAGTTAGCATACGATTGATTTAATTTCTTCCTTAAAGGTGTGGAAGAATCTATTAGTCGTGTCATTTGGTATGAACCTTTGTGAATCAGTTCAGTAGCAACAGAACTAACAGAAAATTCTGAAAACAATGCAGTCATTGTCATATCTAGGCCCAAGGACCAGTGCCAGTCGTTATCAGAAATTTTCACGGAAGCCAGGCTCCGTGGCACACACTGATGATTCCAGCACTCTGGGAGGCTGGGGCAGGAGGATAGAAGGCTGGAGTCCAACCTGGGTGACCCACATAGCTAATGCAACACACTTGTTAACTGAGTTTAAGACACAAACATTAATCTGATAATAACTTTTTAGGAAAATGAAGCATTATTAAATATATACATAATTTTAAGGTGCATCTTGATATTTTAAATGATAAAATATGAAATGAAGAATTACTATTTGGTCAGAGAAGTATTGCCTGTATTGTGAGTTCAGAACGGGAGAAACATCCTGTTTTTTCCTTCTCTATATCTCTAGAAGGAGGAAAATGGAAATAAGCTATATTATGTATACTCCAGTTGTTGAATTTTCATACAACTATTATAAGATATTTTAGAACATGTTTTTATAAAACAGAGACTTGGCTTCTACTTAAATGATTGACATGTTTCTATCAGACTAAACCTATTAAGAGCAGTAAGAAAATATAAACAAAACAGGAAAAACACCACATCTGTCTAAAGGCATCAGAAAACTAGTAAGTAGTCAGTTCCTAGAGGGAAGGTGTGGTGGGCAGTGTGTGTCAGTCTGGCTCAGCTACAGTTCCTAATTATTATTATTATTATTATTTTTTGGTACCAGGGATCGAACTTGGGGTCCTTGCGCTTGCGAGGCAGGCGGTGAAACCACTGAGCTAAATCCGTGGCCCAACAGTTCCTAATTATTCCAACACTAATCTAGGTGTTAACATGAAGGGGTTTGGTAGATGTGATTAGTGTGTAATCATTTTACTTTCAGTAAGGAAGATTATCCTAGACCAGTGATGGTGAACCTTTAGAGCATTCAGTGATGCACACAGCTGACTGCAGCACGTGTGCCATAGGTTCACCACCACCGCCCTAGAGATCTGAGTGGTCCTGCTGCAGTCAGCTGAAAGGCTTTAAGGGCAGAACGGAAGCTTCTCTGGCATAAGAATTCCACCTTTTTGATCTACCTGTGGATAGTAGCATCTGCTCCTGCCTAAGAGTCCTAGCCTGCCCTCCTGATGGCCAGTCCCCAACACTGGGTAAGCCAGTTCCTTTCAATAAATATTTCAGTGTATACATAAGTCTGTGTACACACATACAGACACACACTCACACTCACTGTTGGCTCTGTTTCTCTGGTGGAACCCAGAGAGAGAAGGGGATTAAGCTAAGGTGAGCCTAACATTCTGGACCACTCTTCCCTGCCAGTGTTTTTGGAAGCAGCTGCCAAGAGACCATGAGCTGAGCAGAAATTAGCATGGTGATAGGGATGCAGACATGGAGCAGGCCTTCCAAGGAGGAAGGCCCCTTATAAAGCATCCTAGGTTTTCACTGGGAGCTGGAAGGGAAGGATTTAGGACACGAACGGCAAACTTTCCTGTTGAAGAGCCTCATATTTTATGTCTTGTGGGCCATACTTTAATAGTGCAAAACCAGCCACAGAGAGTTCCTAAGCAGACATGACTGTTCTAATAAGACTTTATAAAAATAGGCAGTGTGCAGTTTTCCCACTTCTGCTATAGATGTGAATAATACTATTCATACATTCGGGCTAATTTGTACCAAACAATTGCAGAATACCATTCTTTTTCAAGTATACTTGAAAAATTAGAACTAACCCCAGAGACCATCTCAGCAATACAGTCTCAATTATACTGTAAGGCTTTCTGAACACAGTGGTATAAAGTTCAGGGTAGGGGATTTAGCTCAGTGGCATCGCACCTGGCTCGAAAGTGCAAGATCCCTGGTACCAAAAAAAAAAGTTCAAGATCGGTAACCAACCAAGAATAGCCTTGTTGTGGGTCTTATCTGGATGTCCCCTCAAAGCCTCTTGAGGTCATAGGTGCGGCTTTTTGGAGGTGACTGGATCTAGGGTGTGTGGTGCTGGAATTAAGGATGTGGTGCTGGGATTAAGGATGATCTACCCTGGGTGTGCCACCCACTCAGATAGCCTGGATGTGATATAAGGGACAGTCCTGTCATTGCTTGCTACTTTGCTGCCTTCTGCCGGCCATGAACTGTTTCTCCTCTGTGACATCCCTCTGCCATGCCACCCTGCCTTGGAGCTAGCTGATTATGGACCGAAACCTCTACAAAATGTGAGCTACAATAATATACCTTTCCTCTTCTAACTTTGGATGTTGATTATTTTGTCTCAGCAACAAGAAAAAAGTAACTGAAACAATTCCCAAACATTGGAAATTTACCAGCACACTTCTGAATAATCCTGGGTCAAAAAAAGAAATCACGAGGGCTGGGGATTTAGCTCAGTGGTTTCGCCGCCTGCTGCACAAGCGCAGGAACCCAAGTTCGATCCCCGGTACCGAAAAAAAAGAAAAGAAATCATGAGATGTAGAAAATAGGCTGAACTTGGGCCTGGGATTTAGCTCAGTGGTTTTGCCACCTGCTGTGCAAGCACAAGGACCTGAGTTTGATCCCTGGTACCAAAAAAAAAAAGAGGCTGAACTGAATGACAATTAAAATGCAGTATATCAGAACAGGTTGAGTTAGGCTGAAGCCATACACAAAGAGAAATGCAATTTAAAGCATATATGAGAACAGAATGAAAAAATGATCAAAATATTCTCAACAAGGTAGT